GTCGAAAATTTGTACTGAAGTGAAGACAATCTTCTAGTACTTCCAACACGAGCTTTCTTTGAAATTTTTGTGATTAACTCCTCAAGAGTGATATTTCTCTTGAAGGTTAAGAGGATATAATGATCTGATTGAAAAATAACTTCGTCTTCATCTTACTGAATTTCTCCATCTAAATAAACAACAACCGAAATACGAGCCACTTTGAGATATTGAGAGTTTGAGAGTTTCAGATATTGAGAGTTTGAAAGTTTGAGAATTTGAGAGTTTAAGAGATGCAGAGTTTGATAATTTTAGTGTTAAGAATTAAAAAGAATATATGATGTTCACAGTCGGGGAACTATTCTCGTCAATTATGTTTAAGGATGTGAAATCAGGTAATTGTTCAGATTTCAATCGGATCTTGTCATGTCAGGTCAAATCGAATACATGTCATGTTAGGTTAATTCGATGGTTCAACTCGGATCAGGTCGGTTTCGGGTCAAATCAATTCAGGTCATTTTCAAGTTAATTTGACATATGGTTCGGTTTTGGTTCAAATCATGTTAATTTCAGTTCGGATCGATGTCAATTCAAGTTAAAACGGTTCAAGTCTGAAGTAGTTAAATATCAGGTTAATTCATGTTCGAATGGAATTTAGTCGGATCGCGTTCAGATCAGGTCACATCATTAACAGACAAAATTCAAGTTGGATCTTACCGGATACGGATTGACTTATTACAAAAAGTATAAATAATTACGGATCAATTTTGATAAAAATATAATTTTAAGGACTAGACTGAACAAACATGAAATTACAAACAAAAATCTAAATAAATTGAACAACACAGATTCATGAGGGATCAAATTGAAATAATTTTAAAATGTGAAGTTAAAATTAATATAAAAATGGACTAAATTGCATCCATTTAAAAATTCGGTGAACAAAAGTTTATAGAGTTTGGAGATTATAATATAATTTATAAAATTTGAAATGAAGTTTATTATGTGATTTATAGGGTTTGAAGTAAATTACAAAAATATAAATAAGTATGAGTCAATTTCATATATAAATATAAATTTAAGGACTAAATTGAATAAATATGAAAAAAATTAAAATTAAAAAAAAATAAACAACTCAAAGAGATCAAATTGAAATCATTATAATAAAAAAATATATATGATGTATGTACATATGTATGATGTATGATGTATGTATATAAGTATGAATATAAGTTTAATATATATATATATATATAATATACTTTTCATCGATCAATGATGTATGTACATGTGTATGATGTATGTATGTGTGTGTATATATATATATGTCAATGCAATAATTTATTTTATAAAAATAATATAATTTAGGACTAAATTAAATACATATGAATTTTTAAACCTGATTTGAAATAAATTAGAATATATATAGGGATCAAATTGAAAGAATTAAAATGTAAAGCTTAAATTATTATACATTTGGACTAAATTGAACGAATTTAAAAACTTTATAAGTATAAAGTATAATATATAAGTATATGTATATAAATATATATGTATAATGTATGCGCGCGCACACACACATATATGAAAGTATAGCATTAAACATAAGTGACTAAAATAAAATATTCCAAAATTAATATTTACATTTAATAATTGTGAACATTAAAGAAAGAAGGGAAAATTAAAAGTAATTAGAATGTATACAGTACTAAATTGCATTGAATTGAAAATTCAAGAAGAGATGTATAATTAAACCATGACTGAAATGAAAGAAATTAAAAACTAAATTAAAAAAACTAATTATTATAGGAGTGAAGCCCTAATTAACCCAAAGAAAGCTATTGGACGTTAAAACAAGCCCGACAAGCTCCAACATTTGCAAAAGTTCAATTTTTTCCCTCTTCCAAATTCTAAAAAAATCAATTTTTCCTCTTCTAAATTTTTGGAATTTTTTTTAATTTTTAATCTCAAATAAATTTATCTTTTACATATTTTTTAAAATTTTAAATTAAATTATATTTAAATTATTAATTTATTATTTATATAAAAATAAATTAAACTTATAAATATTCAAATTAATTTTACATAATCTAATAAAATATAGTTCAATAAATAAATTATTTAATGAAATTAATTTAATTATTATAATTAAGATTTGTAATACAAGGATTATAATTAATATAGAAAGTAAATTTATTAAATTAATTATCATTACTAATAATTTGTTATAATTTTTAAAGAGTAATCATATTATTATCATAGTTTATTTAATTGTCAAAACATTATCATAACTAACTACTTGTTTTAAATTTTAAAAAGTAATCATACTAATTATCATAATTTATTATAAATTCAAAATCTCACAACTTCGTCAATATTTTACAACTATATCAATTGTAACTTATAAGTAATATAGTTTATTATAAATTCAGAATCTCACAACTTCATCAATTGTAACTTATAAGTAAGGTAAGTATCAAGTCAGGTAAATATCAAACCAATTCAATAACAAGTCGGATTATTTACAAGTTAAGTCAATTATAGGTCATGTTCATATTAAATTAGGTCGATAACAGGTCGGGTAATACCAGTTATTTACCAAGTTAATCTCAGGTTGGGTTCATTTCAGTTGAATGCAGGTCAGGTTGGATTATCATATTATCGATTCAATTTGGGTTCTGGTTATTCCCGGATCGGGTGCAGGTCAAGTTCAGGTCCACAATTTCCAGGTCCAACTCGGGTTTAGGTCAACACCAGTTCAAACTCAAATCGGTTTTGGATCACCACCACCTCGGGTCACAAAAAGTTTTGACTCAAGTCGATTTCATTCAGTTTTGCAGGTCTGGTTAGCTTTTTAAATCCCTAATTATGTTTGATGGGATGATACACTATGACATGACATAGATTCTCTAAAAAAGGGGGGAAATATTTCTTGTAAAACAAGCCTTTCCTTTTTGTCAGGTTTTTTTCTACATGTCTTAGTCAATTATGTGAAGATATGATGTTGGCAATCGGATAACTTGTAATTCATCAGGGATATCATGCTATTTTTTTCTATTTGATGACAACCTATTTAATTTAAAAATATATTTCATTCTATAATAATCAAAAAATTATTTAAATATAAATTCAATAAAATAAAAATATTTTTTTTTATCAAAAATTACATTAATAGTAACGGAAAGACAAATGGTTGATTCACAATCGAACATAAAAAAGGTATACCATACCATGCCCACGATTGGAAAAGAAGGAGACAACCTCCAGTAGCAGTTTTACTATATCTCGTTGCCCAACACATTCCTCTAAACAAAATCTCAAAACTGTAGACTCTTAACTCAACATGTCGATTACTTCAAAATCAATGAGATGCCACATCCACATACAATAAACTTGGTTGTAAGATTTGTGAGGCATCAATGTCCCTCTAATGATTTTGTAATATGTATGCCCGGGAAAATGCTTTTACCTCGTTCTTAGAATAATTCATTCAACTCTTTAAAATTAGTTTACTGCCACGTTAATTATATTTGACCACCGTTGAAATCCGTCGAAAAAGTTCCAAGATAATCCGTGTACAACGTATGCCAATTATCATTTTCCACACCACAAATAACAGTTACATATATCGGGAGCCCCCATTGCATTGAAACATCCTCCAAGACAATGGTGCACTCCCCACATGACAGATGAAGCATGCGTGTCTCTGGCCTCTACCTCTGGATTAGTGTAGAAATAAGGGTAGGTTCAAGTTTATAACCTCCAACAATTTTGGCTACGTACCAAATCCAGCCATAGATAAATAACTCCAAATACGAAGCGGTGTGTTCATCTTGTTGTTACGAATAAAAACTTCTAATATACGATCAATTTCCTAATAAATAAATTCTAACAATTAAAATTTAAAATAAAATTTCAAAAATTATTTAAATAAATAAAATATTCAAAAAATAAAAAATAATATAATTTCATATTCTTACCATATTGGCAAAATGACTCGAAATATACTTAACATCCAATGGCAACATCTCGCCTTTCATTTTTTTAACCATAGATAATAATATAAAAAATAATTTTTTACAAATAATAAAATAATAAGAATTCAATGACTAAAAAATAATAAATATATAATAAATTATACCTTAAGAAGAATAAGTAAGATGAGAAAATGAGGTTTTAGGTGTGATTTGTTAAGGGGTGGAGAGGGATTTATACAGAGGGGTTGGGGGAATGGCAGGAAGAGGGAGCGGGAAGGGGGGGGGGGGAAGTTAGGCGGGAAAGGCATGTCGTCCCCTACGAAGCGCGGCCGCCAATTCAGCAATAGGTGTGTTCTCTGTAACGAGCCTTCCCTCCAAATATACATAGTGTGTTTCATGAAACGCGCCCCCCTCTTCCCAGTCAGAAAGGATGCTAGTCCTGTAAAATTTGGGAAAACATCTGTGTAATGTGTTTTTTTAAAAATTTTTAGGTGATTTTTCGATAAAATCGCCGGAATATATGAAACAAGTATTGTTCGTTGTCCTCCCCTAAATCTGCTTTATTACTCTTGATTTCCTTCTGCTCTCTTTGTATCTTATTTTTATCTTCAACTCTCCCTTTGGTTTGATCTACATCACGGGCACTGTTCGAGACTCCAGAAAAGTTGTTCATCTATTAGTTAATCGATGCCGCCCAGCTGTTACAGTAACTTTTATATAAACAACAGTCCCACCTCTCGAATAACCGGTACCTGGAAGACACTCTCTAGGGAGATTTTCTTTTTCTTTTCTTTGGGAAAAATAAATATAAAGCAATAATTGTTCAATTGAATACCCAACTCTTTCTACTGCTGAAACGTTGGTGTGATCAAACCAAGGACACGAGTAACAGGTTTTGAACCAGAGCCAAATCAGTGAAGAGTTCATAACCATTGAAGGATAGTAGAAATCTAAACCGTCACACTCCCAGTTTAATTTCTTTATATCAGTACGGTTTTACCCCAATAACCTGAAACTGATGATAGCAGCACCAGTAATATAAAATGAAATAGAACAGGGTTCCAGCATGGGAAAACGTCTGCGGTAAATTCCTTTTATGAGCAACACAATTGTATCATCCGTTGATCTAGTCTAGCTAGGATACACGCCAAATTTTCTTATCAACTCATATCCTTTTAGATGAGATATTTTTAGAAAAAATTATGTCTTCAACCAAGATATCCATCTTTGGTGAGCAGTTGATACTGCAGAAGAAAAGCCACCACAAGGTTTTTCTGATGGCCATTCGTTAGCACCTACAGAGGACCTGGAAAAGTACCATTCTCCCTTTGCTCGTTCCATCGATCTATCTGAGGAACCAAACAAAAATAGTAGTTAGCTTAAAAGAGTCCACAAATGGTAAATAAACCAATCAAACAACATTGCACATATGAAGACAGAATATACTTACACAAACCTCAGAATCTGGAGCATATTATACTCGTTCAAAAATTTTAAACAGGGGCTAGAAGAATGGATTAATCAGATCATAATCTCTTTTCCCCATGCTAGAATATACCTTTTCCGCAAAATAAATTGGCAGTAGCAAAGCGAATATCTCATTACTGAATCTTGCACGGTCACAATCTCCAGTGTTAGGTTATATTTTTATTCTTCTAGTTAGGTTCTAACAAAAATATCTGGACCAATTGTCCATGGACAGTCCATGGACAGTGACCTACTTTGTAATTGAGAACAATCGAGTTGATCTAATGCTAGAGACAAGTTTGCGCCAGATTAAAGAACTTGAGGCTCAAAGCTCAAGCTGCTCAACTTAAACTTGAATGAAGATTGATTTTCACAATAGGGCTCAGCTCATAATTTACTCAGCAGCTGGAGCTTAACTAAACAGATATATAACAAAATATATTAAAAAAAGGCTTAACCATGCACATGAGATACTGCAATCAGGTATTAAAATACTTGAACTCAGCTTGTCTCGTTACTCAAGTAGATGAAATGTTTGAACACGGCTGGATACTGAAGAAGTCAAACTCAAGCATTCACCAAATTGAGCACATGTAACTCACAGGTAGCTTGAGTAGATGAGTCATTTAGACCCTAGTACTAATATTGGAACAGTTGATTCAGTCTTCTCTAGTTTATTAATTTTAGTACCCGAAGTCAACCTTAATATTTAGTTCAAAAACGAGCTAAAAGATTGGTCATATTTTAAGACTAATTGAAGCCATGAAAGAGCATACTTCTCTTTTCCCATGTCGCCTAAACTTTGAAATCTAGGAAATTGTGGATGCATGGAGAAACCCACCAATTACTACAATATACAACTTTGGTCTATTTTTGGTTTAAATAAAGTTGAACTTGGAGTTCATTGATTGTGGTAGCTTTTAACTTTCACATAGTAAAAGTAATCGAACTAATTTACCCAACTTGTCTTCAACAGTCCAACATCAGATCATCTGTAACTAATATTCACATTTTAGCCAACTTAGCCACCTCTATCAAAAAGATGGGGTTCATAAAGCATTTCTTGATTTATGCAAGTAATAAGAGCAACCGAAGAAACCATGCAATAAAAGTTAAAGCAGTTATGCAATTGATTATGATGAAGTGTGTATTATGGTTCTTAGGAGAAAATACACACCCATTCTCCAGGACACAGTGCACGATAATACTTGGCAAACTTATCACAATCTGGGGCACCTTCTCCTTTTGCAGCTACACAACTGTATAAGACAAGAAGATAAAGACATGCCAAGAAGGATTACTAGAAAAAACAAAACCTTTCTACCTTTATAAGATACAAAATAAATAATAAGCATAGCTTAACTCACCGATGGTACTCAATATATCGTGTGAAGCAATGCCTTGTTTGATTTGTAGTGGGGAAGCGAAAATCTGCCGGAGCAGTCTCAAGCTGGATAGCACCACCACACTATGTTAGTGAAGCAACATAACACGTGAAAAGTGAGTTTCCAATACACATAAAGAACTGAAAACAGAAGATAATTATTCCGTAATAAAGATGTTCAGCGGGGCAACCTTTATCTCGGGGGTTGCCTCAGCATCACCCGAGTTTTCCTCTGCAGCAGGTTCATTACTTTCCTCTGCATCAGCTGCAGCACCTTCAGCACTGTCCCCAGCAGCAAGATTGGCTTCAGTGCTTTCTTCAGCAGCAGGAGGAGAAGCCTCAGTGCTTCCCTCAACTGGAGCAGGAGTCTCTTCCAATTTCTCTGTTACATAATCCCCAGAGCCAGAGGCAGCATTTACTGGATTTTCAGCCTCTTTTGGTTCCACTGGTTTTGGTGCCACATGCGACGATTTCTCTTCTTTCTCCTCCAGTACATATTGCTGCATTTCCAAACATTCCAGATAAATAAGTTTAACACATAAATAGGTCAAATAACTACCCCCACCATACATGCACAAACACAGAATCTGAGAAATTAGTATCAGCTCAACTACGCAAAAGGTTTTACAAGCATGAGAATTTAATTTAAGTTATCAATATAATAAATTGGAAAAAATGTTGCATCCTAGCTAAACTTAAATGTAAGCACAACAAGCTTGAAAGAGATAATAAAAACACTAATCAATTATTCTAAAACAATTAAAAACCTTATTGTTCACACTACATGCTCATATATGAATTTGCATGTAGTTCCTAAATGGTAACATTGAGGATGCTGTGCTACCATGAGAATTGATAAACCGCAGATCATTTTTAAACTATAACATCCTCTTCGGATGCTTAAGCCACCGAAACTTCTAGTCAAAAATTTCATTGTGTTATTGCTTGCTTACGCACCATTACTATTAAAAGACCCAATAAGCTTTGGCTCAAAATGTTAAATTTCAATGAACACCACGTATGAAGCTCCTCAACAAACCAACACATTTGAGGAGTAAAAATTGGTAGAATCTTAAGAGGAAAAAACAGAGTAAACTTCATTGGGTTTATTTAGTCAAAAACTTGGCAAAAAGAAAAGTGAAGTTGATCACACTCATGACGATGTTCAACAAAATCAGACGTTAATTACATTCGATAACGGAGCATAGAGTGTTGGGAAATAAACCGAGTAACGAGTAATTTTCCTATAACCAGATTAGTGAGAATACGAAATAAAAGCGGAAAAATAATACCCAGAAAATTGATAACGAAGTTCAATCAATTGTGTCTACGTCTCCGGACTGCTGCAGATCTTTTACTAAGAGAGAAAAATTACAAGTGTTTACAAAACACTCACTACTCACAAGAAAACTCTCTAGTATTGGGAAAAAGAAATGATTTTGGGATTTTGGGATGATTTTGAAGCTAAATGAGCTAGGGTATTTATAGTTGAAGCTTGAGAACTAATCTTGTAAATATCCTAAAGTACAATGACTAAAATGCACTTATGCCATTTACCATTTTTTTCAACAAAAATAAATGCCACTTTCGGTGGCCTCATTTTATGACTTTTCCAACAATCTCCCACTTAAAGACTGATTTTAATCTGTCTTCACACCTCGATCAATGCAGCAGTATTTATAGTCTTGTTATTCTAGCATGCCAACTGAAGCTGAACACAACTTCAGTTTGTCCGTGGTCACCGTCTCTGTCAACATGTCTGCCGGATTTTGAGCTCCACTAATTTTTTTCAGTTTCAAAATCCCATCTTCCAGAAGAGACCGGATAAAATGATATCGCAATTGTATGTGCTTCGTCCTGGAATGAAAAGACGGATTCTTTGCTAGATGGATAGCACTTTGACTGTCGCAATACAAGACATTGTTTTCTTGTTTCTTGCCTAACTCTTCAAAGAAACTTTGGAGCCAGACCATCTCCTTGCTGGCTTCTATAATAGCGACATATTCTGCTTCAGTTGTGGAGAGAGAAACTATCTTCTGTAGTTGAGAAACCCAACTCACTGCAGTTCCTCCTAGAGTATAGACATACCCTGTAGTACTTCTTCTGATGTCAACATTTCCAGCTAAGTCAGCATCTACATAGCCTGTCCGTATCATATCTCCATCTTTGAAACAAAGTGCTTTGTTTGTAGTACCCTACAGATATATGATGATCCATTTGACTGTTTCCCAGTGTACTTTGCCCGGATTATTCATGTACCTGCTAACAACACTCACTGCATGAGCAATATATGGTCTGTTATAAACCATGGCATACATCAAACTTCCAATTGCTGAGGCGTACGACACCTTTACCATGTGTGCACGTTCTCCCTCCGTCTTTGGTGACTGTTCTTTGAAGAGTCTGAAATGAACACCTAAAGGTGTACTTACTGGTTTAACATCTTACATGTTGAACCTGAAAAATACTTTGTTGATGTACTCAGCCTGTGATAACATCAAAGTCCCCGACTTTGTGTCTCTCTTGATCCTCATCCCAAGAATCTGTTTTGCAGCGCCCAGATCCTTCATAGCAAACTGCTTCGACAATTTTTGCTTCAAGTTTATAATCTCTTGCATGTCAGAGCCTACAACGAGCATGTCAGAGCCTGCAACGAGCATGTCATCAACGTACAATAATAAAATAATGAAGCTGTTGTCGAACCTCTTGATGTAGCAACAATGATCTGTTTGGCATCTGATAAAACCACTGCTACTCATAAAGCTATCGAACTTCTTGTACCACTGTCTAGGAGTTTGTTTTAAATCATACAAGCTCTTCTTCAACCTGCATAACAAGTTTTTCTTACTTGCCTCTATGAAGCCTTCTGGCTGCCTCATATAGATTTCTTCCTCCAACTCACCATGAAGGAAAGTTGTCTTTACATCTAACTGCTCAAGATGTAAATTCTATGCAGCTACAATTTTCAACACCAGTCTGATTGTAGATAGTTTTACGACTGGAGAGAAAATTTCATTGTAGTCAATACCTTCTTTTTGCTGAAAACCTTTGACAACCAATCTTGCTTTATAGCGTTTGCTCCCATCGTGCTCTACTTTGATCCTGTAAATCCACTTGTTGTGGAGCGCTTTCTTGTTTGGTGGTAATTCAGCTAATTCCACGTCTGATTTGACATAAGCGAGTCCATCTCATCTTTCATGGAAGACTCCCACTTGACTGAATCCTCCACTTGCATTGCTTCATCATAGCACTCTGGTTCACCATTGTCAGTCAGCAACAAATAGTGCAAAAAAAGGAGAATACCATTGGGTTGGTTTAGGAATTTTGGAGGAGCGTCTCAGTTCTGGTGTGCTTGGTTCTTCTTGAACTGCTTCAGGATTGATCTGAATATCATTTCCAGAAATCTCCTCGAACTCAGCAAATTCCTTTGTTTCAGCTTCGACATTGGAGCTATTTGATTCTACGGTTGACCTGTCTTTGTACATCACATTCTCATTGAAAATGACATCTCTGCTTCTGATGATCTTTTGATTTTCATAATCCCAAAACCGGTAACCGAACTCATCACCGCCATAACCAACAAAGGCACATTTGTTGGACTTAACATTAAGTTTACTCCTTTCAGCAGAATCTATGTGTACATAAGAAATACAACTAAACACTTTTAAGTGTGAAAGGTTTATTTCTTTCTTGCTCCAAACTTCCTTTGGTATTCTGCCATCCAAAGGAATTGAGGGTCCACGGTTGATCAGGTAAGCTGCAGTGTTGATAGCTTCTGCCCATAGAAATTTGGGCAATCCAGCATGTATCCTCGTGCTTCTGGCACGTTCATTCAGAGTTCTGTTCATGCGCTCTGCTACGCCATTCTACTGCGGAGTCATGGGAACTGTTGTCTCCATCTTGATCTTATTGTTTGCGCAGAAATCTTTGAATCTTCTGTTTTTGTACTTTCCTCCATTGTCATACCTCAGCCGCTTGACTTTCAAATCAGTCTCATTTTCCACCATGGCCTTCCATTTTCTGAAGGTATCAAAGACTTTTGATTTTTTCTTTAGAAAATAAACTCACACCTTCCTTGTTGAATCATCGATGAATGTGACATAATATAATGAGCCTGCAAGAGATGGAACTGGAGATGGTTCCCATACATCAGTATAAACCAACTCTAACTTTTCTGCCTTGGGTGTCTTACCAATCTTTGCAAAACTCACTTTCTTTTGTTTGCCAAATATGCAATCCTCACATAGTCCGATAACTACACTTTTTAGATCCGACAGCTTCCCTTTTGACAAAAGTATTTTCATCCCTTTCTCGCTCATATGACAAAGTCTTTGGTGCCATAGGTTTGATTTTACATCAACATCTGTTGTTGCAATGATATTCTCTAAATTTGAGGTTACATAGAGAGTACCAGTTTTCTTACCCCGAGCAATGACGAGTGCTCCTTTGGTAATTTTCCATTCACAGCCTGAAAAGGTTGTACTATAACCTTCTCCATCAAACTGTCCTACAGAAATCAAATTTCTTTTGAGGCCAGGAAGATGTCTCATTCCTTTAAGCTTCTAGGTGGTCTGGTTTGGCATTTTTAGTCGGATGTCTCCTTTTTCAGTGATCTTTAAGGTTTCATCATCAGCTAGATAAACTTTCCCAAAATCACCACTGACATAATTCTCTATGATTTCTTGGTATGAGGTGGAGTGAAAAGATACCCCTGAATCCAAGATCTATGATTCAATCGGACTGTTAACGCTTAGAATCATGGCATCACCTATCTCCTCTGTCATGTTGGAAGATTCCTGTGCGTCGGTATCTTTTTTCAGTGCTCGGCAGTCTCTTTTAAAGTGACATTTCTTGCCACAATTATAACATATAAAATCTTTTTTCCTGTTTTTGATTTTCCCTTTCTGGATTTGAATCTGCCACAATTTGAATTTTTTTCTGAAGTTCTCCCTCTGGACTCCGTGTGCAAGGCTGAGGAGGTTGATGCTTCACCCGATTCTCTCCGTCTAATATCTTCACTCAATACCAGATCCTGTACATCGTCGAATTTTAATTTGTTGTTTCCCGACGAACTGCTGACTACTGTAACAATAACATTTCAACTGTCTGGTAGAGATGATAAGAGAATTAAAGTCGAACTTCATCATCGAATTCAATTTCTACTGAACTCAACTGGGTTGTGATTGTGTTGAGTTCATTTAGGTGTTGAGCCACTGATGCCCCTTCCGCCATCCGTAAATTGAATAATCGCCTCATCAAATGAACTTTGTTTGAGGCCGATGGCTTCTCATACATACTGGAGAGAGCCGCCATAAGACCCGCCGTGGTCTTTTCCTTTGCTATGTTGAAAGCAACATTGCGGGATAATGTCAGTCGGATAACTCCGAGAGCTTGTCTGTCGAGAAGAGCTCAGTCTTCATTTTTCATGCCCTCTGATTGCTTTCCTGAGAGAGGTTGATATAAATTTTTCTGGTACAGAAAATCTTCAATCTGCATATTCCAAAAGCCAAAGTCCGCACCATCGAACTTCTCAATTTTCATCTTCCCTTCGTCTGCAGGCATCCCTCCCACTCGAATTTGGCTTCGTTTGGATCGTTTCCGACAATTCTTGCGAACCACCGTGTATTAGAACACATCCGTCGACAAATTTATATCGCAGACAAAATTTTTACTATTCACGAAATTTACTATTCACGTGAATAGTAATGAATAGTAACATGCAAAAAATTGACAAAATTCACAACCAAAAACTCTGATTACCAGTTGTTAGGAAATAAACCGAGTAACGAGTAATTTCCCTATAATCAGATTAGTGAGAATACGAAATAAAAACGAAAAAATAATACTCGGAAAATTGATAACGGAGTTCAGCCAATTGTGCCTACGTCTCCGGACTGCTACAGATCTTTTAGTAAGAGAGAAAAATTACAGGTATTTACAACACTCACTACTCACAAGAAAGCTCTCTAGTATTGGGAGAAAGAAATGATTTTGGGATGATTTTGAAACTAAATGAACTAGGATATTTATAGTTGAAGCTTGAGGACTAATCTTATATATACCCTAAAATACAATGACTAAAATATACTTATGCCGTTTACCATTTTTTCAACAAAAATAAATGCCACTTTCGGTGACCTCCCTTACCACTTTCGATGGCCTCATTTTATGACTTTTCCAACATAGAGAACCAAAGTTTAATCAAAGCCATCATCTCAAAAACTTCAAAAAGGCTGAAATGCTTTATCAATGAAATGATAATAATTCCATCAGCAGTCTTCAGTCAGATCCATTTCATTCCAATCCAATTAAACTGAAATCTAGAAACCAAAATTGAAGATCCAACAACAGTCGCAACAATTGCAAGAAAAGGAAAAGCAATATAGATCGAAATTCTCAATAGCCACAAGGATTAAAAATAAACTACTAAAATTATTTATTTTCTACAAAAATGAAATCAGAGAGAGCATAAACGTACCTCAGAAAGAGAAGGGGGTTTTTCAGTTTGAACATCCGCCATTTCCGGAAGAGGAAGAGATCGGCTTTTCTTTCAGATGGGAGTCCTACGTTTGGTGCAGCCAATACAAGATAATAAGGCAATACAAAGAGAGATTGGCAGGTAGGTTAGGATTTCAGCCTTTTAGTGCAACAGTAAAATTTTAGAAAAATAGATAAATAGTTTACGATTTCAAAGAGCTAAACTTTTAGCAGGCATGAAGGAAATTACTAGAACTTGACTGATTTCTCTTTTGACTGATTCACCCGTTGGGCTGTTGGCTCCTATATCCTATCCTATTCCTGGCCCGACTTTTCTAACTTGTTAGCCTACAAAGTTCCTTTCTTTCCCTTCTTCAATTACATAATAAATATACGAAGAAAACTCAAAATTGAAATTTACTTAAAAGAATTGATTTTTTTTCAAAATTGAAACATCAAAGTTTAATAAAATAAAAAACATTAGAATATCAATAAAGCAAAATCTATTAGATATACAATTCCAATTACCGGTATGGAAGAAGAAAGAGGAAATGGGTGGGATAGGATAGGATAGGATTTACCCTGCATGTATTTGCTTTGCTTTCAATTATACGCATGAAGATGATCAAAATTTTAAAATAAGTAGACCACAGTATTTAGATGGATCCCATTGGGAGGATTTTGCCAATACTCACTCCCCCACAACCCATCATTTTTCTTTTTGTGTTTCATATTGTTTTTTATTCAACAATTCATTGTCTAACCGAATACAACATTTTTGTTTGATCAATCTTTGCCGAACTTTCCACAACGGTTGAAACTATCGAAATGCATACCATCAAACAAAGGCGGTTGCTATGTTAAAACCAGAGCCGACCCCATGGTTGTGAGAAGTGATCAATGTAACCCACAGTAGCAAGAAAAGTCTTCAGCCTGATGGGAAATCATACCAATTGCTCCATATTCCTATACAGATCTCAACTTTTCTACCCCCTCATATACGGTCAAAGTTGATACAGAGGAGGCTTTTTTACCTCCCAACTTGTTAAAATCAAAGACCAAATTTGTGATGCTGAAGGTATAATACATGCCAGTCGCTATCCTCTAAAATACATGTGAAGCATTTGGGTCATAGAAAACTACCAACAGTACAGCCATCCATTATTAATACACGGAATCATGACTACTTATCACGTATCAATCCTAAAAGTCACATGCGTCTTTGAATACACAGCCAAAAGAATCCAAACTCGTGTTGAAGATTCTTATGACTCGACGCCAATAAAACCAGTATTAATTCCTCTCCTACAACTTCCTCAACATTGCAAATATTCATTTCCAAAAATAAACCTAGCTCTAATGGACTCATTACTATTATTTTTTCATACTCTTAATTCCCCCCCCTTTTTTCTTTACAGAAACGCCCTCCTAAAAGGGATGCGCCATCGACTATATAAGCCAACTGAATTACGTTCAGATTAAATAGTCAGTTTGGAACAAGCCAATTACTGCTCCAGGACTAGTAACTGGACAATCTGGTCAAATGAAAATAAAACAGATTTTAGATTATACAAATTGTAATTTTTCAGCAGCCGTCTGACATCTATGATCTACACAGCTGAATTCTGAGGAGGGCATGTTAGGCATTGCAAAAAATCTTCGGTTACAACACCAAAGTCCTGCTACAGATCTTATTAGTTGTTTAATGACAATGTTTCTAAGTTTTACTATACTTCCTAAGAAGATCAGACTGGATAGATGTCATGTCATAAAATAAAAACCTAGTGGTGATCAAATAAAACACTTAACATAACATGCAGGATTTCATATGATGGATCATGAGCAATTGTAAAAATCCTTGAAATTCTTAAAAAAAAATCAAACCAACTTAAAATCTATGATAAATCCATGTCTGACAATTAAACACGGAAACAACAGCTTACATTGTGTGTTATATTGGCCAAAAAGAAGGAATACTTTTACATCCATAAATGGCTAAACTTAAGATTAACAGGTAAAATCATGAACAGCACAGATATAGCAACAAAACTTACAGATAAATTTTTTTAAAAAAAAAACTTACAGATAAAAGTAATTCATATTACTAAAATGTTTAATAAATACCTAACATTTTACTTTTGTTCTTAACCCAATATTTTAACAAAAACAAAAGAACATAATTTGAACTTTGTAAATGAAGAGGAAAAAACTTTTAAATTCTGACCAGGGCGAGAAAATTTTCTTTCTTCATCCAACCACTGGTAATTGAATAAAATTCCCCACCAACCTAACCATGTACAAAAAATCCCTAAAGCCGCAATTTTTCCATCTTTGAAGGCATACCTGAACTTAAAATTTATCAAAGGCCTCCCCCTTTTGGACTCGGCACTGGCACCGTTGGTGACAGTGGGAATCCTAATTGACCCGAATTTGGAGAAAATATAAAACTTGGGGAAAGTAATGGATATGGTGACCGAGGAGAATTCAGGAACCCGAATGGTAGTGGTGACGACGATAGCTGTGACTGGCTTATCCCAGTTGATGATACCTGTGGCGGTTGTTGTTGATGATGATGTGGCTGTTGAGGCGGCGGCGGCGGTTGCTGCTGCTGTTGCTGTTGTGGAACTATTAAGTTGTTCCAACGGGGAGAGATGAGTTCGGCCAATGGTGGGAATCCCGAGAATTGCTTTGGAATGGAATCAACAGTGGAGGACTCGGAGCTTTGGAAGTATCGCAAATAGGCGGAGACCGGCGATTCGGCAGCCGCGTGCACAGCCGGAAATGGAGGGAGCGGCGAAAGAGGCGCCCCAACCGGCGGCCTTTGAACAAAGCTATGACCAACGGGACCACTGATAGGAAGGGTACGCTGAGAGCAACCGAGAGGGTTCATGTTGGGGACGGCGCAATTAATCATGGGAGGCGCAGGGCGATTGGTAACGTGCGCCAATGGAGGTGGTCGGATCCTCTGGAGCCGAGAGCTTTGTGGCTTTGGTTGGTGGATTGGTGGAGGAGCAGAGAACCGCTCGTGAGCCGGTGAACCGGTGAGCTTCTGTACGACATCCCTGAAGTCGTTCTTGTTGATGTTGTAAACCGGTGGCTGGTGTTGTTGAGCCTGGAGACCGCTTTGGTTCGGATTATGGGGATGAGGCTCGGAGGATTGAGGTTGCTGCTGTGGAGGCACAGCTTGGGTGTGGTCAAAGGAAGCCTTTTTGATGATAGGAGGAGCGTTGGTGGAGGGTTTGGAGATCTTGTGAGAAAGCTTGTTGAGATGTTTAAGGTAATGATCTCGATTGCCAATATTGTTAACGTTGGGGCTACCGCTGCTACCGGTGGTGTTGCTGGTAGTAGAAACACCAGAAGAGTGGCAGGTTTTATCCATTTTTAAGCAAAACAAAAAAGACCCGAGCTTTCTCCCCCGCTAAAACTCGCTTTCTGTATCAGTTGACAGATCTGGTTTAGTTTCTGGGTTCGCAAAACTTCCTCCTTATGGCAGCAGACTAAACAAAAGGGGCCGAGGAGCGAAGGATAAAACCCAAAGAAGGAGATAGAGTGAAGGTGGTTTTCGTTTTCATTTTCATTTATGGGATTAAAATATTAAAAAAAAAGGGGGGTGATGGAAGTAAAAAGACTTTTTATTGCCAAGCATTTGAACAGGAAAAGAGAGAGAAAAGTAGGAAAAGATCGAATACTGGTCTTTGCCTTTGTGCCGCTGTCTAATCTCTCTTTAATTTCTTTTTTTCTTTTTAATTTTTGAGGCAACTTGGAAGAAACATGACCCACCCGTAAAAGAAGCCACGAATACCTCTCTTTTATTATTATCTGATGCTGGGGCCTGCGAGAGTAGATTGTGATTGCGGGCGTCGACAATGTTTGCTTCTTGTCGTGTTCCAGGTGACCCAGTTTTAAACCTAGTAATGACTCACCAACCAAGCTGTCAAAATGGCAGTCTCGTTTCCATATTCCACTCACTAGGTTTCTACCTGGGGATTTTTTGTTTTTGGTTTTGGGGGGTAAATTGGGAAGGTGTCCCTGAATTGTGTGATTAATGTGGAGAATTTCCCTATGTTTTTAATTTCTGGAGATACGGAAGGAATCTGGTCAACGGCAAGCTGCGTTAAAGAGATTGAAGGTGAGCAATTTTCAATCCACCCAAAACAAGGCTGCAAAAAGGTTTTCCTTCTACTTCCACTGTCCTAAAATGTTGCAAATGCATAATAAGCCTTGTTTCCCGAGGGCTCAAAAAATATGTGATTGAAAGAGATGAGAAAATGTGCCAACTTAGTAAAGGGGAAGGGGAAATGACCTGAACTTGCATGGTGTATAATTGGGACGTTACGAATGAATCAAATGAATTTGGGATTAATTAGTGGTGTAAATTCGGAGTAATCAAACTGTTTAAGTCAAAAGAAAAACACAGAACCAGAAGTCCAATGCCCGTTAGCACAACTTATAATTTGCAAGTTGATGAGAAAAGGAGACAAGAATGTGTGAGCAAATGATGATGCAGGGACACTTTTTGAGACAGATGCTAAGGGACTCCTACCTTACCTTTCTCTGTTTTTTTTAAGTCCCGGAGTATACTACTAACCAAGCACTAAGCTGTCATTTTTTTTCTTTACTTTGAATCAATTTTTTTTTAGATTTAAAGGGTTTGAAGTCTACATTCGAATAGTATGCATCATCCCATAAATAATTGATTATGATTCTCTATCCAACTTAAATTGTATAAATCGTTTACGACCAATGCAAACTAAAATGTTATCATCATAGAAAAGGAATGCAAGTGATATAAAATTTCCCTATAAATGGGTGAGATTTTGCTTATTACCTTTATTGAAATTATTATAGTATGCGAGTAGCTTTATAAACAAAATAAAAAGAATGAATAATAGAAATGATTTACTTTGTGTTTAAATTATAGAATCATTCATCGTCTTTATTATAAAAAAAATATTGATTCTTTTTAGTTTCTAAATTGGGAGTTCAATTGAAAAAAAACATAAGCAAAAATAAACTGTAAATTTTCATTTTATATATATCCCAACAATTTCAGTTGTTTTTTCCCTCTTACTATTTTGTTAGCGTTTGATAGTAAACTCGGGTTCTTGGTTTTGAATAATATGGTTCTATGTTATTCTAGTGAGATCTGCCTGTTAGAGTTTAACATTTGATTGATTTCTTTTGGCTTATATTTTTAGTTTGTTTATGGTAGCTAGAAATTTATTAAATCAAATATGTTGATGTTGTATAAGTTATAGATCTGTATCTTACTTTTATATTAAGTAAGATATAAATCCAATCATTGGATCCTAGCTGTTGGCCTAAAGTTAATTAAGATAGTATTAATTTGTTTTAAAATCTTATTAAGTAATCAACTAGGCTTCTTAGTACCCCTCAATTTTCTAACGTTTTATTGGTGCACATTTGTCTTCTTTGGATTCTTTTTCATAGTTCCTCATAGCTTCAGTTATAGATGATTACTTGAGGTCATGTCATTCTTTTAGATCCCATAGGGCGTGTAAGGGGAGGGCACAACAGAGTGGTGTCAAGGATACTAGACTTAGAGTTTGTTGTTGAATGTAGGCACATTAAATGCTAGGCTGCTGGAGCTGACCGACGTACTTAGTAATAGAAAAATAGATTTTGCATGTATTCAGGAGACTAGGTGGAAAAGGGCTCGTGTAAGAGAGTGTAATGGGTACAAGTTGTGGTATTCAGGCGTAGATAACGCTAGAAATGGGGTGGGTATCTTGGTACCCTCTAAGCTCAAGGAAAATGTAGTTGAAGTTTGTAGATACCGGGATAGGATCATGATGATTAAGGTTATTATAGAAGCGGAAGTGGTGAATGTCCTTTCAGTGTACGCCCCACACGTTGGCCTAGGGGAGGGGGAGAAACGTTGCTTCTGGGACCAACTAGATGTTGCACTTAGAAGCATCCCGGAGAACCAAAGAGTTTTCATAGGGGGAGACTTCAATGGCCATATAGGTAGTGCAACGACTGGTATGACGGTGTTCATGGGGGTCTCAGTTTTGGTAGTAGGAACGAGGAGGGGCGTACGTTACTTGAATTTGCTTCTGCATACGATATGGTGGTCATTAACTCCTTCTTTAATAAGAAAGATGTGAACTTGATTACGTTCCATAGCGGGGGACATTGTACCCAAATCGACTACATCCTGGTTCGAAATCGGGATCGATGGGCTTGCATTGACTGTAAGGTTGTTCCTAAAGAGGCATGTGTATCACAACACAGATTGTTGGTTTTGGTGTTCGCGTATACCACGGGTGAGCACTCATAGGAGGGCTAAGCTTGGTAAACCTAGGATCCTTTGGAAGAACTTACATTGAGCGATTGTTGATGACTTTAGGAGTAAGATTTTGTCTAATACAGGTTTTGGAACTACAAGCGCAAATAATGTAGATATGTTATGGAAAAATATGACAAATTCATCAGAGAGGTGGGCAAAAACACCCTTGGGTTGTTGACAGGGAAGGTCAATAATCATAAAGAATCGTGGTGGTGGAACGACGGAGTCTAAACTAGGGTGAAGACAAAGCAAACTTGCTTCAAGGAGTTTCTGCAATGCAATAACGACGAAGAAAGATCGAGAGCTAAACAAAGATACAAGAGGCAAAGCGGGAAGCCAAGAAAATAGTGGCTAAAGTAAAGGATAAGGCATATGAGGAAATGTACAAGAGACTTGACTCCAAGGAAGGACAAAACGGCATCTTCAGGCTTGCAAAATCCAGGGAAAATAGGAAAAAATCTAGGTAGCATTAGGTTTATTAAGGACAACAATGGTGTTCTTTTAGTGAAAGATCATGATATTAAGAGGGTTTGGGTAGTTACTTCTTTGGCTTATTTAATGACGGTGCCTCTCCCTGTAGAGATAGTACCGTTGATGGGTCATCCGACCATCATACTACGGCCAATGACGGCACTACAAGTAGGATTGGGTTTGAGGAAGTCAAAATGGCTCTTAGAAAGATGGGGAGGGACAAAGCTGTCGATCTAGATCAAATTCCTATCACTGCGTGGTTGGCCCTAGGAGAAGAGGGAGTTAAGTGGTTGACCAACATCTTTAATATTATTTTAGAGACTGCCAAGATGCCAAAGGAATGGAGAGAGTCTAAGGTGATACCAATCTATAAGAATAAAAGAGATCCCCAACGTTGTGGCAACTACAGAGGTATTAAACTACTCAGTCATACCATGAAGCTATGGGAAAGGGTGACAGAGGCTAGGTTGAGACATGTTACTAAGGTTTCGGAAAACCAATTTGGCTTTATACTAGGCAGGTCTACTACGGAGGTGATTCATCTACTTCGACGGCTTATGGAGAAATATAGGGAAAAAAATAGAGATCTTCACATGGCGTTCATTGACCTTGAGAAGGCGTACGATAGCGTTCCCCACGATACGATCTGGAAGACCTTGGAAACGAGACAGATCCCAAGTGCTTATACCCGGGCGATTCGTGATATATACTGTAGATCTACTACTTACGTCATGACTACAGTTGGCGACACCGAGGTATTCCGGTGGAAATTGAACTCCATCAGGGTTCGACTCTAGCCCTTACATCTTCGCCTTGATTATGAACGACATCTTTTGCGTGATACCAGACGGTGTCCCATGGTGTATGCTTTTCGCTGACGAAATTGTCCTAGTTGTTGAAACAAAAACTGAGCTAAATAGTATACTGGCTACCTGGAAAACTACTTTGGAAGAAAAAGGTCTAAGGATCAATATTGAAAAGACAGAGTATTTATGTTCAAACTTCAGTAGGAACCAAAACAATGAAGATGTAGAAGTATGCATAGAAGGACACGTTCTCCCCTCAAAGGATTGTTTCAAGTACCTAGGGTCTATGATACATAAAGATGGGGGTATAGATTATGATGTTACACACCGTATAAATGCGGGATGGCTAAAGTGGAGGGCTGCTACTGGAGTTTTGTGTGACAAGAAGTTGCCTCTAAAGCTTAAGGGAAATTTTTTTATAGAATGGCAATAAGACCAACGCTGCTGTATGGATCAGAATGTAGGGCAATCAAGAATGATCATGTAAGGAGGATGGAGGCCGCAGAAATGAGAATGCTTCGATGGACATGTGGTAGGACTCTGTGGGACATGACACCAAACTCTGCTATTAGATGTCCTTGGGGGTGGTGCCTGTATCCGAAAAATTGATGGAGAAAAGACTACGGTGGTTTGGGCATGTCCTTAGGCGACAACCGTCGGATGCGATCAGGAGGGTAGAGTCGATTACAATCGACGGTGCCAGAAGAAGAGGACGACCAAGGCGGAAGTGGAAGACTGCTTGAGATCTGATTTGAAGGATTTAGCCCTTACCAAGGACATGACTTCTGATAGGAAAGTATGGAGACTTAAGACCAAGGTAGTCGAGTAGTGCGGGTCACAAACATAGGGTGTAACATCTTTGTCTTCTTTTTTAATGCCTTTGTAGTAATTTCCATGACTTCTACTTTACATACATTACTGTCATTAGAATTTATGAAGGCTTAGAACTAGGGTAGCGGAGTAGT